ATCTCTGCAAATCCGTGACGGTCATTGCGAAGCTCGCAACGCCACCAGGCGGATTATGAGCGAATTGGCCCATTAAGCATCCCGGCGCAATCCTGCGATTTTCCACCTCGATGTGCTCGGCAGGGATTTTCCATGAAGTACATTAAGCGTCTCGTTAGCTTGTTTGAGCGTTTTGTCGTAATTCCAGCCATAAGCTTCCGGTAAGAGGCCATTTTGAACCTCGTTCCAAAATCCACAAGGAATTAGTCGGTTTTCAGAGGACACTTTGGCTCCATGTCGAAGAAACCAGAATATGACCGGCGAAAAAAAAATCCCTGAAAACCCCTCCACAATATTTCACTTAATTGAACTCTCTGTTAAAATGTAGCAATGAACTTCCGGGAGAAATTTTTCGTGATACAAATTTTGCGTCTTAGTTTCGCGTGCATCTCGTCTCTTTACAATTCTGGCCGAGAAATTCAATACTTCGCTTAATTAAACTCTCCGTTAAAATCTGGCGATGAAAGTCCGGGTGGAATTTTTCGAGATACAAATTTTGCGTCTGACATTAGCGTGCATCTCTTGCCTATTCACAATTCTGGCCGATAAATTCAATACTGAATTACTTCGCTTAATTAAACTCTCCGTTAAAATCTGGCGATGAACTTCCGGGAGGAATTTTTCAAGATACAAATTTTGCCTCTTACATTAACGTGTATCTCTTGTTTCTTCACAATTCTGGCCGAGAAATTCAATCCTGAATTATTTCGCTTAATTAAACTCTCTGTTAAAATCTGACGATGAACTTCCGGGAGGAATTTTTCGAGGTACAAATTTTGCGTCTTAGTTGCGCGTGCATCTCTTGTCTCTTCACAATTCCAACCGAGAAATTCAACCCTGAAGGGCATGCCGGACCATGGAGCAAGTTCTCCTCGGCGAACGTTCTCTTAAGTCTGGGCATTAGTTTTCTTCTGAGTATCTTCTAAGAGCAGGATTACCACAGAAGATCGAGCCCTGGAGGAAGAAGCGGAAGTGGCGCCGCCATAGCCGAAGAACAACTAGCCAAGGCAAAACGAGGCCTTCTCTCTTGAGTAACCTACTGGAATTTATTTCTCACAACCCTCCCGTATAACTTGACACGTCTATAAAACATTTACGCGAATCATTATTTAATTCGCTGTCCTCTCTGAAATTCAGAAACCCTCCTCCCGACCTTGTACGTCTAAACAATGTAGAGCATCTCGCGTTTAAAACCAAATGCCCATATCTAAAAACAATGTTTCGCCGATGTTGAAACTGGTCAAGCCTGATTATATTTTTAACAATCACAGTAAACGATGAGAAAATATTAACCGAGGGAGAAATTTAAGATCGGTCGACGAATTTATTAATATACAATTTCTCTTAAAACCGAGAAGATACCGATAGTGCGTCGCTCAGCATTCAAATAATGTGAACAATTTCACATAGTAAATAAAATGCACATTGTCGAAAGATTCTATTCTACACGCTGGTATCTATGGTGGCTGATATTTTTTAAGAGATCGTAGATAATGATGAATAATTTCTTAAGGGGGGAAAAATCCAAGAACGGCCGATTTTTATGAATGGATAATTTTTTAGTTCGTAATGACAAGCATGACGTCACGGCGACCGAGTGTTGGCTTCCGATCGTAATTAGTTTCCAATTAGCGGGATCGAGGTAAATCGGCATTCGGGGAAGGCTCTGGTCAAGCTGCCGAGATTCACCATAAGTATCGGCGGCTTCTACGTAGATTCGAGCCGCAAACGCAATTACGCGAGCTCCTGTTATCCCGGCTAATAATCCGCGGGGGTTCGGGGGGGCCGATCGGGAAATCTCACAAAGCAGCCATTATCTCGCGCACCGCGACGTAATGCACTCTGCAATCGGGATTTACCATTGATGACAAAATCTCGCCGAGATAATAGGTATCTCGCACAATGTAAATCACAAATCGGGCTAAATTATCTGTCATTATCCCGTTTGCGAAGATGGCCGTACCAACGTATCCCAACCTGCACTGAAATTATCTTCTCTTCGGATAATAAGCAAGTAAAACATTGCAAAGAATTATTTTTTCGGGGATGCATTACCTAGAATGGTGAATAATTACCAGTAGCGTATTCGCGATATTTTTCTTCTCTGCGGGTCAAGCGTCATTCTATTTGTAATAACTAATTTGTCACGCAGCGTTAAAAAAATGACGGTAATAAATTCATAATACATGTTTTGGAGATTTCATTCAAATACGGCGCACTGGATTTATAAAACATTCGTAGATGTACATAAATGCATTAAAATATGATTTCAATTCTATATCTTTCAAGTCTTACTTCATTTCTTCGGCAAAACTTAATGTGGTATATCGTTGTTATACCACTTCTTTGTAACCAGGGAGGTCATCATAAATTGTAATGTAATCGTTAGTTAACGCCAGAATACTAATATTCATTATCATTACGTTATACCATATTCTCAAATGCATAAAAAGCAATTGGGTTATTAAAAGTTAATGCCCATGGTTTTAGTTTGACAAGGTGGTTTAAACAATTTCCGCCGGTGTCAGAAAATTCGAGACTTTTCAAAACCCTTACAATCATTGCGCAGAAATTTATAAATATTTTTCACAGTGTTCCGAGGTGTGCCGCGAGAAAGTCAGAACTACCAATTCGAATAATTACGCGGTATATCGTACATGTCATATGCGGACAGGCATAATGCTTCTTGCAACAGGAACTGCAATTATTATCCTGGCGAGCAACTATATTGTAAGAGATATCGCACAGAATGCAATTCCCGAAGCTACGTAGATGGGAAAGTCACGAAGTAGTCATTACCCTCACGGGTCGTGGCGTAATGCACTTTGCAGTTGATAATGCACCATTCATGACATCGCGGCCAGGATAACAATTGTCATGCAACGTCTCACCTCTACCTGTAATTAATAAAACCGGATAAATGGCCGCGCTTCCTAAACGAAGACGATACCGGACAAATTAATAAGATCGCGTCGGCAATATTTGCACGCCATAAAAGGAAATATTTAACACAGACGATCGTAATCAAGCTTTGCCCCTGTAATTATGGTGTATTACCCCATCGGGTTACGGAGAATAACAAAGCGAAGAGTAGCCGGCGTAGCAAGACCGATGTCATCATCGATAATTCAATAATTTCCGTGTATCAAAGAATCCATGATACGTGGTGTCGGTCACGCAATTTCTCGCACAATACGCTCCCCCGAAATTTCCGCCTCCACATTGATTGGATTCGCAAAAAGCCTTTCAGTAGCCCAAGCGAATTACCACCAGCCAGCCAGAACCGCAAATTTAAAATCTCATTCGCAAGTGAATGCGCCCCTCTCATAAAATTTCCAATTACCTCTCTCGGATACAAACGAGTTACCATTTATATATATATAATTTTTATGCCATGAATTCTGGCAAATTTGCCGGTATTTACCTGTATATAGGTCGCGGTCTTTTAAAATCACGGTGCAATTATTTTTTCATCCTCTCTTCACCAAAAGACCGACTTTCCATGCCTGTCGAGCGTGGCAAAAGTTGCCTATTACGTGCCACGTCACAATTTACCTCCCGAGGGAGGAAAGTAGTCACTTTCTGCCCACATTAAGTGGATTAAGTCACGCTTCACCTCCCGAGGGAGGAAAGTGGTCACTTTCCATCCGCATAAAAGTAGATTTCGACAGGGAAAAATTGCTTGGACAGCTGGTGGCGTTTCAATCTTTCGGGATTGATGGAGAACCGAGTGGTTTTTTTATTAACAAATTCCTTGTACAACTAAATGCATCATGATTGTTTGTAAGAAATTTCTAAACAATTTGGAACAAAAAATTTCCATTTTTCGATTTCACCGCGACACCGTCAGGTCGTATCGTCACTCGAGAGGCATTTAAAAATTGGCCTTCCGGTTTTAAGGGAGGGTGAAAAATAGTAATATACTGATAAGTACGCATTTCGGGAGTTCAGTAAGCAATTAAGATTCGCGTTTTTCCGGCCTGCGGCAAATTCACCCTCGTCCATTTCGCATATTTTCTCTCTTCATTACGTAATGTACTATTTTTCACGTTTTAAGGTAAATCCCGGACGTTTTTCTTACAATTGTTTTGTATGTAATTATTATTTTTTTTAATGAGTCATGTTTTAGAATTTTGCCCCTTTCGCCCTCTCGGTTCACCGCTGATTTTGATTCTTTTACTCAGGAGAAATGGCCGCACTTTAAGCACGCCAACGAGATACTTTCCTCGGCATCCTCTCGGGAGCTGCTCGTGTAATAGCATTGGCATTGAAAAAGCAGGAACGCGAAACGCCGCGAGTTTCTCCGGCCTCGGCAATTACATGATTACAGGCGTGCGGTAATTGCGGAGGGTTGCCGGAGAAAGAGAGAGAAACGCCGAGGAAACCGGTGGAGGGAAAGAGAAGGACTCACTCGCTCGACCGGTGCTCGACTTTAGAATCACTCGCAGAAACTATTTTTCCATCCGAAGAAGCAGAGAACCCCGAAGAGGCGCCTGTATGAAATTCCTACGAGAGGTCGGGAACAATGACTCGAAAACGTTCCGATAAACGTATTTCTTCCCGATCCGATATCACCTGGGAGATATCAAAATATTATTCCACGCGTTCGCGACATTGATCTGGATGGTTGGAAAGTTTGTCGATTTTAAAAAGTCAGGACCACACGCCGTATAAAAATGCATCTGTCAATATACTGGGTTAGCGAAAAAGTTCTACGACGCTTATCATTTATTATAATCTTGATTTTTTTAATTTGACAAAAACTCGCAGAGAGATATCGAGAAGCTATAAGCGAGACAATAAATGTGATTTCCAAAATGTTGGTGGTTGTGTGGCAGGACTTTCTCGCCAATTCAAGGGCTGATCATGATTTGTGCGAATCTTGGTTGAATGTGGCGTTTGCTTTTTGAGCCGAAGAGTCGATTGTTGAAATAAGGGGTTCCTTTTCAATTTCTTTTCAGCGACGTAACGGTGTCGACGAGTGTGCGAGAGTGGCTGAGGTCTCCAGCTTTTGACGCCCGACAATGGGAAGATGAGGAGTTGTTGTTGATGCTGCAGACCATGTTCGTCGAGCTCGACTTACCGCAGAAATTCAATATTCCGCTGTCGACCTTGAGGAACTTCCTCTTCGAGGTTTACAATAACTACAACGAGGTTCCTTTTCACAATTTCCGGCACTGCTTCTGCGTGGCTCAGATGGTAGGTTCCCCTTTAAATCACTCACCATCGCATCCCTAAATTTCTAACTCTCAATGTACATACGGGATCATTTTGCCCTCATAATTATATTCCAACATAAATAGTTTTGAACAGCGCCATGATTTTTACATGATTGTAGGAGATTAAAGATAAATAGGAATGAATTCTAAAATTAAAATTCATCCAAATTGTGATGATACTAAAGCACGATCGTGAATGTGGATAGTAATTAACTGTAAAAGGAAGCGTTTAAAAAATTGTTTCACTATCCAAATCGGACTCCTTTCATACCATAAGAACTTACACGTACTATCGTGGTATATTAAGTTTCGTTTAAAAAATATATACACAATTAATCATTTCCAGATGTACGCGATAGCCTGGGCCGTCGATCTGCCTTCAAAGATCGGCTACCTCGAGGTCTTCGTGTTGATCGTCTCGTGCATTTGTCACGACCTGGATCATCCTGGTTACAACAACATCTACCAAATAAATGCACGAACTGAGCTCGCGTTGCGCTACAATGACATTTCCCCTCTGGAGAACCATCACTGTTCGGTGGCCTTCAGGGTGCTGGAAGCCCCGGAATGCAACATCCTCGCATCCTTAAATTCCTCGACCTTCAGGACAGTCCGAGAAGGCATCATCAGGTGCATCCTGGCAACGGACATGGCAAGGCACAACGAGATCCTGGGTCAATTCACGGACGTCGTGCCCGAGTTCGATTACTCCAACAAGACTCACATCAACCTGGTCGGTACCATGGCCATTAGATATGGAAATCTGCAGAAGAGATCTCTGATAAAAATGCCCCGTGGATTTACGTACTCGGTCGTTGGTTATTTTCATGCCGCAATAAGTTCCATTAAAATGGCATCGTCCCTGTAATATCGTAACGTTACGTTTCATTCAAGTAAAAATGCACTGATACGGTAGATATACAATGTTAGGTGTATTTGTACAATCTCTAATTTGGGATTCTTATATTTTACACCTTCTCTAAGTGAAACTTAGTTATGGAGTGTGTAAAAATGTGTGTAAATTTCCGTCGATTTTTATCAGTGGAGGTTTTCTGGGTTCTTAGTGTCCTTCTGACTGTGCCTTGGGTCCTTCCAGCTCTCTATGATCCTGATCAAGGTAGCCGACATCAGCAACGAGGCAAGGCCCATGGACGTGGCCGAGCCTTGGTTGGACAGCCTTCTTCAGGAGTTCTTCAAGCAAAGCGATGCCGAAAAGCTGGAAGGTCTTCCTGTGACTCCATTCATGGACCGTGACAAGGTGACCAAGCCATCTTCTCAGTGCAGCTTCATCGGCCTGGTCTTGTTGCCGCTCTTCGAAGCCCTGGGCGAGCTGTTCCCAGAACTCCAGGTACGGTCCCAACCTTCAGGAGACAAAATATCTCGACGTGAAAAAAGATCTATATTAAGTATATATTTAAAAGCTGCCGATACAGCTATACAAGTTGAGCCGATATGAAATTATCATCCGTGGAATCAATCGTTTATTAAACTTTCCTCCAAACCGATTGTACCGCATTGTTTGAAACTTTACCGCGTGAATATGAAGGCCCTAAGGAAAGCCCTAATCCTCATGAAATCTCATTTTCTATGCAAAATGTAAAAACTGTTTATAAACAAATTTAGGAAAATTAAATTCCATGAGCGTTGGGACGTTCCTTAGGACCTCCATATTAAAATTTCAAACGATTCGGTCCACCTAGTTCAGAGAATAATTTTATAGACAATTGATTCCTCAGATGCCGCTTTCGTATCTCCTTAAGACGTCTGTCATGACGAGGGAGGAGCTCGCGACTGGGAGTATTTTCTGCGTCACTGATAAATAATACGTGAAAGTACTTTAAACAAAAGTTGTTTGTCTCTTCGTACTGAACAACTTTTGTAGGGGTCGTTTTTCCAGATTTTGTCCTGGAGATGAGAAAATCGGGTTGATATGAGTAGAACGAGGGGTAGTTACGAGCTCGTCGCTTGGCAGCTTTGTTACCGACTTCGCCTCGGAGAAATACGAACCTAAGGTCTTGCACTTTCAGAATCTGATAGTGAAGCCAGTCAGAGAAGCCTTGGAGTACTACCGTCGCTTGAACGAGGCAGCTAAGGATGAACGTCACCACAGGAAGAGCCTGGTGGACCTGGGAGAGTCCTCGCACTGCTCGACTCCTGGGAACGGACAGCCAGTCGTGAAGTCGGCCTCTTCGCAGAGCGTTCGTTCCAAAAAGTCAGCAGGGACGCAGCATTCCAGGTCGCGTTCGATGGATGACGAAGGGGAAAACCTGACGATCGAGGAGATGGAAAACATCGACTCTTCGGATCCGGAAACGGCGACGGAAGTCGAGATCAGCGAGAAGACGTTGAAGTTCAAGATCTCCACCGAGGGGAACCTCGCTGGCAGGAAGAGTCATCCTGGAAGTCGGAAAGGCAGCCGAGAAAAGACCACCTTGGACTACTACACTCATGATTTGATCAGGGAAATCAGGGAGCATGAACGAGAGAGGAGGAAAAGTCGGGGGGAGCACTTCAGCAGCGACATGAGTTCTCCGGTGAGCGCCAGATCAGCAGACGAGCCCAGGATCCTGGAGGAGCTGGAAAAGGACGAGGTAGTCTTCGTGGAAGCAAGGATTTCGGACGAGAGGCCCGAAGGCAATGGCAATGCGGTTCCGGTGGACGTTTTGGGCGGGAAGAAAGCGTCTATAATAAGCATCGAGGAGGACATGAAGAACTCCAGGAAGGACTCCATCAGAGAAGGGGTGCGTTGCTGTTGCGACGACTCCAGAGACAAGAGCACCGCTAATAACCACGGTAAGTCGCTGCTGACCAGACTTCGGAACTTCACAGACCGCTTAAGTATTAGCTTCGATTCCAAGGAGCCCCCAGTCCCAAAACAAACCAAACACCCGAACTCGAAGACGCTGAACAAGAGCAACTCGATAACCAGCACTTCGTCGAAGCATACTCCGTCAATCTGTAAAAAGTGTAACCTAGCGAAAAGTAACAAAGAGAACGATGTGAAAACGGAGGTGACGACCGTGCGGGCCATGACCCTGCCGAAGGCGAAGAAGTCTCAGGACGGGAAGAACAAGAGCTGGAGAACGGTGTTCGCCAAGGAGAAGAGGCCCTCGGTGTCCTTGGAAGCGCTACCAGCAGTGGACTCCCAGGAGGCGATAGTCGCCAAACACAGGAGGAACTTCTCGAACCCTGAAGGTAAAACTAGCCCTATAGCGAAGAATCTAAGCCTGAGGGAACCTAAAGGGATGAACTTCAAGGAGATAGATTTAAGGTCGAAGCCGGAAATCGTCGTGGACCCTAGCAGCAGCACGACGATGATCGGCAAGGACATCGGTAAGGTAGAGATCAGGAGAAGTTCCGCGAGCATGGAGGATATTTCTAAGATCACTAAACAAAACGAGCCTCCTTTGCTAGGATCCCTAGACGACAAGAAGACCGAGGAGCTCCAGCACACGGGGAGTTTGGATTCGATGCTCTATAAGGAGTCCTTGATCGGAAAGAAGCCCGTGGCGTTTTCCTCCCCGGGGACGTCGAAGAAGACTTCTGCTGGCTTGTTCTCCAGGTTCAAGTCTGGGATGAGCATGGACTCGGGGGCTCGGAGCAATAGTGGATCTTTGCACGAGCCCCAGTCCCCGGGTGGATGGATATCCTCTCTAACAGCTAGCTTCAGACCAAAAAGGCAAGCCAGCGAGACTCCCTCGTCGCCGCATTGCTCGCAGTCGCCTAATCTCGAGGAACCGAAGTGAGGCCGATTGTCCGGATCGATCCTGAAGAGAGGAAAATGCACGCTGCTCCGTGGAGAACCTGGACGGTTCTTCGAATAGGCCGCCAGCTGAGGTGGACCTCGTCGAAGTCGAAACACCAGGATGCCGGACGTTCTATGCGACGATGGCGAAGAGGACGCTGAAGATCCCGTGGCATACAAGAAGCGAGAGGAAGATTGCTCTTCCTTCTGCAGCGCCGGAGGAAACACGATGGAAAGCAGAAGAGAATCCAAAGAGTCTGGATGAAGTCGACCTTCTCTTTACTCCCGAGGAGGCGTCGAGGATATTAAGAGCACTCTTGAGATGACGATGACGATGAACCGAATGAAGAACCTGAACACTCGGATGATACCCTGAAAAATGTTCCGGGGTGAAAATTTGAACGTGGTTGGCTTTCTTCAAGGATAGACGAGCTGGATGCCGGCCATCCGAGGTATTGATGTGATCTGAGCTGAATAAATAACAAATGAGGGGAGTTCTAAAATCCTGATTGAGGTAGAACACTCACTCACGTTCACAATAATGCCGATAAGATGTTAAAGTTCGCCATTTTGGATTACTGAAGAGGCTTGGTGACCTCGATGTCGATGAAAACGCTCAATATTCTAATTGATGAAGACCTCAACATGCTCTGGTCTCTCTATAGAAATAATCTAATTTGACGAAAGACTCTTCCTTTGAGAAACCTCTTCTTGTCAATGCTCGTTTGTTCAGTATAATCCACGCAATTTAATTCTAACGAGCATCTATTCAACATTGTGTTGGTACCTTCGTCGTACCATTCAAATGTATGAATTCATCTTCATTAGTTCCAACCGTTTTTATATATTGGCAACCATCGGATGTGTTTAGAATCGTCATCGTTACTTGCAAAAGAGTACCTTTAAGAAGCACTTTTGCCAAGGGCACAACTTCGGGAACGGATTGCCATTCCCGAAGGAGCGGAAGAATGCCGGCTATCCATTGTAAGGGTAACCTTGAAGACCTCCTGAAGGAGTCCAAAGAAAGTTCAAAGAAGGTCCTTTTTCCATTCTGTTAATGTCTGAAGGCTTCGAGGAATGGGCCAATCAGGGGCGGTGCCAATACAATTCCACGGCTGCTCGATATCCCAGACTAAGAGTACTATAAGGCCCTAGACTATTTTATTTATTGTCTAACCGAACGCGTAGCTTAACGAGTAATCATTAATGTTGTTCGTTATGTATATATATACATATACGTATGGAGTATATACATCGTATATATACATGCGCATCCAGATCCACTCACTGGTACATATATATACACCCACATACCTGCACACACGGATCTAAAGATAGATTGTTAGGTAGACGAACAGATAGGCGGATACGAGTAGATTGTTAGGTAGTTATAGTCGCCATAATGATTAAATTCAAAAAGTCGTAACTGTCCTGAATGTTGCCGAAGTTCCCGCGGAGGTATCGGAAAATGTCTGCAAGTGCCGGGCGATTGTTTTCCCGGATGCGAATCCGATTTCCGTGCACGGCACCGGACCCGCTGTATTGAATCTCTTCAGATCAAAATGAGACTTCAGTTCCTTCGATGATAAACGACCACGCATCTTGGTCCACCATTCCCCAGTAGAGATGGCTGATCTTCGTTTGAAGGCATTCAATACGGCTAATCTAACGTCAGTGACTACAGACAGAACTTAGGAGTTTCTAAGAGTGCCACGAAACTGCTCCACTTTTGTAAAATCATCTCTATGCAAGTCGCTGCCTTTTTATGAGAGACGCCATACGATCTCGCGATGTTCACTCTCAGAATTTTATCAGACATTGCCGTTAAAGATGTCAGCCTATGATTAAATACTTGACTTGAGTTTAGGTGAGGAGACGTAAGGCTCATTTTCCAGCGACTACGTCGCGCCAATCTCGCCCAAACTGAATACGTATAAAATTCGTAGTTGATTGATTGACTGAGAACTTCAACGCGTTGCATCTATCAAAAGGTCTTACCTTTTGTCTGTAGACACTGAGGACCCTAACCCTCGCCGAACTGTAACGATCACAGTGATAATCGTCACATTCGACCTTTCCACGATCAGTTTCTCTATGGTATCGCACTTTCGTTTTTTTTTTTTTAGATGTTTATATTTTTATACTCCAATGACTACATGGCAAATATGACTATACGGCGACTAAACCGCATGTATTGTTGAACTCTAGTCTTACGTTATGGTCGCGGTCCCAACAATTCTACGGACCCTGTTCTTCCCCGATCAACCTCTTCGTGTCCATTTTACAAGATAAGATGATTTTTTGGACACACTTCTGCTTTTACCTGGCGATCTATTTCCTTTCTTAAATCGTAAATTCTTCTCTCTGTTGATACAATAAATTCCCGGGCATTTATCGTCTTTGGCACCATTGATCTCTACTGCCTGAAAGATTTCTATTCAGTCTTGAATATCTGTCCGAGCAGATTTTACTTTCTTGACAATTGATAAGGGGTTCGATAAAAATCAAAACTGTCACCTAGACCTGAAACGAGGCGGTAATACCGAAAGACTTATTAAGCAAGTAAAATCACCGTTAATAAATTGTCGGGTTTTGCGAAGTTTGTAAATTGTTTAATGAGATGGGTGTTTATTACTTCTTAGTTTAATTACTCGGTCCTGTAATAACAATATTTCATTGCGCGGGTTTGTCCATCATTACTCATGTCCATCGTTGGGTATTATCCTCCTCTTTCCGGTTTTCTCTCGTCAGGAACATTTTGAACGCCGACACTCGGCATCGAACTATTGTTAAATACTACCTTGTGCCTGAACTCTATTATTTATTTATTACTCCTTCTAATCTATCGTCCCGTGTAAGAGCGCTGGAATTGAAATACCATTCTTTTTTCTTTCGAAACTCACCCGACATTCCTCGACGAACATCGTAACTTATGCATATCTTTAAACAATGCATTGGACAATGAACAAAAAGTAAAAATTTATTCCGTACAGTGTCCTGATTAAATTGTATGACTAACAATGACCATTTAGCATCACACTCGAAGCGATGTTTATTCGGACAAAATGATAGGTCATCGACGATATACGAGTACTAAATAAAATGGATATAGTAACTTGTAACTCCTGGTATGCTATGATCTTACATAATTGGCACTTTCCAACTACATAATGTAAGCATAAACAATTCGGCGTGAGTTTCGAAAAGAAAAGCCGACGAATTGGCCTAATCGTCGCAATGGTGGGCCAACTATCTCGTATGTCAACCGTTTCAGCACCGTATGACTGTCAATTGATTAGTTATTTATTCACACGAGAGATAATTGTTATCACACATCGGTCAATTATCGAGACGACTAGTATGATATTTTTCGGAGCGATCGATATTGTCAAGTTGTATAAATAAATATCGACTACACCAGCCGTCTCGTGCTCGACTTCCGCAAGATCTCCCTCCGCATTTCCTTTTCCGTAAAAACGTCTCCAAAAAATCGTTCGATCTCGCGAATCGATCCTCGTTAGCTTAGCTAGATCATAAGACCATTGAGATGACCTGTCGGGGAGGAAATAATTGAACATTCATGCGAGTGGACGTCTCCGCGCGCATAAGTGTTACTTGAGAATAATTAAAGAAACAAAAAAAAATAATCAGCTATTTGCTCGCGGGCGAGTGACGATACTTAGAACTAATTACTGTAAGATACATAATCGTAAGAGTCTGTGGGAATTGTAAGCGCCTAAAGAGAAGTATAAAGAACTCGGTGGTCGGTGCTGGCGGCTATGATTAAATTATTAACATTTTTAAACATTTAATTCCTTAGGGACACCCTTGACATATTTAACTTGGCAGAGTATCTAATATATCACGAATATCGTTAAAGTGGCTTCTCATTGATCGACACTTTTATACTAATCTTGTAGCCTTGCATGAAATAGTTAAGAAAATTTCCGTCTAAACAAGATATCTAATCCGCTGAGAAATATTCATTACAGTGGAAGATAAAACTGCCCGTGAAAGATACGCTGGCAAGTTAAGGCTTAATACATTCTTCCGGTATTTGGCACATTTGGAAATTTGAGAATCTTCGTACAAGTAGGGAATTTTTTTTAAACAATTTATTAAACTCACTGTTCGTCCCGTCTGGGGATTTTTTTGAACAAATTTGAGACCCACATATCGACACATATGAGACTGACAGAAGAGTAAAAGTGAAGCTGCGAATCCGAATTTCTCGGTTTTTTGGATCTAAAGCCATGGAGGAGTCGCAGTCCAAAAATATCCCACGGACCAGTCTAAAAGAAAGATATCTAAAGTATTTATTCTGAGAAAGGAGAAGCACTTCTTTAAGTAGAAAAAGGAAATGTAAGACGCCAGCATCGAGGCCGAACCTGTACCAACTGTATCCGTTCGATTCCAAGGTGTTGTACTAGTGCACTGTAGAGGACATTAATTTTAAGCGAGACCATGGTCTACTGTACCGTCAAAAGTAGCTATGGTCGACCCTCTAGTTTCTTTTGTAAATGAAAATATCAGCGAATAAAGTAAGTTATGCGAAAACGTGGCTCGCTCAACTTTGAGTCACCTTGGTACTCCGCCATCTTAATTTGTTTCATGGCAAGTGCACGCAGAGGAATGAAATATCTCTTCATATTCCGTTTAATTGACAGCATTGGAACATAAAAAGTCTATTTCGAACAATTCGAACGGGTATAAAAATTCTACGAAAAAAATTCCACTAAATAAAGGACCTCTCATTGGATAATCCTTTACGCTCGTCCTGCACTCGATGTTATCAGTTAGTGTCGGTCTTTATTCTGCGCACATTTGCATATATCCCGGTCACTGAGGACAACATTAATCCCTTAGGGTTCATTTTGAGAGGGATTGATGTTTCGTCGCAGACAGAGATTTCGTATTTGGATAATATACTGATTAAGCCCAGTTTGGATTGTAAAAGCCCCAGCCGAAGACCTAGGATTAAATATGAAGATCCGGATAAGACAGAGCCTGACTGTAGACTATCAAAACGCAATAAGTGTTTAAAAAAGGAGAAGATTTTTACCGATGCAGCTGTGTGATCCGTCGCCGAAGGGCAAATAGGTGCAAGACTTCATGGCTTTTTTATTCTCCTCGGAAAATCTTTCGGGATCGTATTCCTCGGGATTTGGGAAGTACTGGGGATCCTCCTGAAGTCCCAGGAGTGAGATGAAAATCGGTGTCCCTTTCTCGATTACCAAATTACTGTCCGGCACTTTGTAATCAGCGACCGCTATTCTATCCAAAATTGGTAGCGGTGGGTACTTCCTCAGGGTTTCCGAAACAACCATGTCCAGATAACGAAGACCAGTCACCTGAAAAGATCATATCTTTCCCAAAAAAACGCAGATATGTAACGAGGTCATAAAGTCACATCGTTAATTCATCTATATGTTAGATTGTCGAAAAAGTCACGACGTATTTTCGTAACAGGTGGGACAGAAGAAATGCGTCGTGACGTTTCCGACAACCCAATATATTAATTATAATTAAAATACGGCGATTTCATTGTACTTCCTGAATTTATGAAATTGTACCATTTCATATGTTATTTCTCCGTTATTATTTTCCATAGCCTCGAGGATTTCATTCCTGAGTCGGCTTTGTATTTCTGGGTGCAAAGTCAGTTCGTAAAGAGTAAACGATATTGTCGATGAAGACGTTTCGAAACCAGCAGTGAAAAATATCGCAGACTGGGCCACCAAATTATCGCCATCGAATTCTGAAAATAGCGCACAGTGCAAAGATAAAAGCTCATCGGGGAATAAAATCCGATTCTTCATTACATCCCAATTCAGTCTTATCGCGTGTTTCTGTCTATTTCGCTCTGGTTAAGATGAAACCGTATTTACACAGTTAAATTACTACCTGCAAATTTCAATGTTCATTTCCGTTGTTTGAACTAACCCATCTGCCGAAATCATTATCTACGAGTGTTTCTGTTTCGTTTAGGAAATGGATTGCGGCATAAAATGCAATACTTACTGAAACCCTCGACTTCCTGGCCACTGTGTTTCAGGTCTACCAGAAGATCAATTAGGTCGTTTCTTTTATTACCGGACTTGATGCGTTCGTTTATTGTGCTCCAAAATGTCGCTTGGAGGAACTTCGAGGTGTTCTTTTCGAAAACTGATGCGCGAAACATCTTTGCCAGCTCAGGGACTAAAAAGATACAGGTGAACTCCAACCCCCGTTTAAAATTGAAATCGAAAACTCGTTTCCCCCATTTTCGAAATTCGGCATGAGGGTTGTTCAGAGAGTTCACTCTGAGACCGAACGCAGTTGTGCCGATCAGATCCGTGGTGAACTTTGCGCAGATTTCCTTGAGTTCCAAAACTTGGCCTTTACCTAAAAAAATTATGAATTTAGTACCTATTATAATTGAACATCGATACGGTATGACATCGCATATTAGTGAATTATTAATCTTCTTTAATATGAAGTAAGATCGAATTTCTCGATCATCTAAATCAGAACATTGCACCGTCGTCTGTATTTCCACAACACGATACGAATGTCTTGTAATGTTTCTACGGTAAATCGGTGTGTAGTTGTAACTATTGTTGAAAACTATATCAGCTCAGACCGCCTGTAAAGACGACGTCAAGTATTGCAACGTATTTGTTGATCGCATGTAAATTGTTGTCAATAACCATTCTGATTTATTACGAGCTAATTTCCCTATCGACTTTGTAACGTGCACTTAGCATTAATACTGAGCTGGAATTCTGAGAACATAGATGATGGCCTTCATTAATTTGCACATTATTATCATAATCCGCAGACATCACAATCTCTATGATTATGGCAGCGGCGAGAAAATTGCATACAATTCCCAGCAGGTATTTTTCCAAACGAATGACATTTTCCAACAGAAATTAAAACTGGAATAAACTAGATATTCACGTAGACGGATTATGAATTAGGAAACGAGGTACCTTTTTTTTTTAAAATCGACCTATCATTGCCAATGACAATGCCGGGTAATGATCACAAGATAGACACATCATCCTGAAGACGGGCCCTTCGACACATTTTGCATATCCGCTGATTATTTTGGTGAACTTGATGCAAAAATAGATAGCCCGAAAGAATATAACAAAGGACAATTTCATGCGATTTCCTTGTCTCATACGTCATAATTCAAGGTGGCCGATTCACGGTTACCATAGCCTTAATAAATAAATTCCCAAGAGATCAGGCTACTTCGATAAAAAACATCATGGACATCAATTCGCAAACTCAGAAATTAGTGTAAACGTTTACCTTGAAATTAGTAGATTGAATGAATACGACGTAAACTATATGTAATGTTAAACTAATGTTCAATCAACCAACAATTCAGAATGCCCCATTCGGCAAGTAATTGAAGAAAATTTGTGTTACCTTCCAAGTTGCAAGAATCGAGGTACGTTTGGAGGTTGATGCTGACCTCGGTCATCAGGTCGAACGTCCTCTTCAACCTCCCGGAAGAGAACATCGGGGTCAACTTGGTCCTGACGGTCTTCCAGGCGGGGTTCTTCAGCATGAAGAGATTCGCAAATCCTAGGACATCATCTTCTCCGGTGGCGGCATACCTGTCCACGAAGTAATTGAAGTCCTTAATAAGAACGTGCTTGATGAGCCCAGGATCCCTGAGCAGCAGGGAGGGTTTGTCAAAAATATAAAACCCAACATAATCGGTCCCTTCCCCTTTCTCATACAGGTCCTTAAGGAACTCCCCTGGGGATTTCTTCATGAAGAGACAGTTGAAAAAATTCCCGAAAAATGGGGAAGGCGAGACCTCGAAAACGCCACGTTTCTTCCAGTAATTGAACTTCCTCGTCATGTACAAGTACGCCGCAACAAAGGCGGCCAGGAACAGGATTATCCCGTCGAGGCCCCAGTAATTCGAGATCACCGCCATGTTCGCAATCTCTTCCACGAGACAGATCTCAAGATCAAAGGCACCAGATCTTTTGGATGAAAATTTGAGTCCCGAGAAACGTGTGTGATACCGCCGAACACGCGAACAAGGATCGCGGAAAATGCACGGTCGACTGCAGCCGCGTACTTGGAGAATGGCTCGGTTGGCCCACTTTTATGAAGCACTTGGGGTTCTACATAATTTCCCCCACTTTTAGCGGGTGTTAACACGAATGCTGCAAGTCATGACCGATATATTATCGTTACAATGTAATCTCTATCTTGTGACTTACACGTGCTTATCGAGGGAAAAGTAACACTTAAACCAAACGAGTTGGCCCCCGAGTCGAAATGTTCGCCCCGTATGGTATTCATGAACACACGTGAGAATATGTATAATACGAGAATTTAAGATAGGGAGATGATTCAAATTTAATTTTAATCATTTAATTTTTGTCCGCTTGTGTAGGGTTCAAATGTGCGGTAGATCGAAACTCGATTGAACCTTCGTTAGTAATGAGGTGTAATTAAAAATAGATTAAGTTGTAATGAGAAAAATGAACACTGAGAATGAATATCTATGACGTAGATTAGTTATCTATGAAATCTGTAGGCGTCTACGATACGTGTATACAATCTTTAATATCAGGTCATCTAAATTTTGGGTATATCTAAAATAGCGTTCATAGTATATTGGAAATGGGATTTGAGAATAATACACTTTATTGTATTTAATTTAACAAAGACTTTATTCTTTCTATAACGCTCAGAGGACCCATCTTTGCTTCTCCAATCACTCTAGCGAACTAACTACAAAAGGGCAACTGCTGATCTCGGTCAGCACCAGTGATGACTAAATTCTTTCTCTGGACCCTCTTTGTGGAGGTGCGACTCTGCGTCGCCTCTTAATCCAAACAACGGTTCTTATCGTTTCTGAAAACCCTCCACTAAACATGGGCCAGACTCTCTCTCTCTCTCTATACACATTAAACATAGATTGGTTTTTGTTTCATTTATAAACCTCAATCTTCAGGTTTATAATTCCAACATAGTATATATATATATATATATATATATCTTACATTAATTCACTAGAAATTGATATACGAGTATAATACGTCTACTATACATCCAGCCATGCCTGAGCAGGTACCTAAATTCTATCAAACACTGATTTAAAGAGCCATATATTGGAAAATGATTTGCCCTCGCAATCATTCGTCAGCCTTGGTGATTATTTTACGCACATTTATATATAATCCGTCCAACGATGTTATCAAAAATCCCTTAGGGTTCAGTTTGAGGGGGATGGGCGTTTCGTCGCAGACAGAGACTTCGTATTCGGATAACATTTTAACTAGGCCCAGTTTGGTTTGCAAAAGTCCCAGCCGAAGACCTACAATCAAATATAATGATCCGGATAAGAGAGTTCCTGAATTTGTATTATCAGAGAAAAAAACGTTATATAAAAAAAGGGAAGAATTTTTACCAATGCAGTTGCGGGGTCCATCACCGAAAGGCATGTAGGTGAAAGACTTCCTCGCTTTTTTATTCTCTTCGGAAAACCTTTCAGGATCGAATCGTTCGGGATTTGGAAAATATTCGGGATCCCAGTGAAGTCCCAGCAATGAGATGAAAATTGGCGTTCCTTTCTCGATTACCAAATTACTGTCCGGGATTTTGTAATCAGCTATCGCCATTCTGTCCAAAATTGCCAACGGAGGGTACTTCCTCAAGGTTTCCGAAATAACCATGTCTAGATAAGGAAGACCGGTCACCTGAAAATGTCGTTATTTTTCTGAAAAATACATACACACGAGGTCATCAGCTCACATTCTTAATTTTCTGCAATTAAACACATTTTAATAAAATCTGGCTCTCTTGGCAGAGTTTCTTGTATTTTCTGAATTTATGAAATTCTACCATTTCGTATGTCATTTCTCCGTTATTCCGTTCCAATGCCTCGTGGATTTCTGTTCTCAGTCGATTTTGAATTTCTGGGTGCAATGCCAATTCGTACAGAGAAAATGACATCGTCGTTGAAGACGTCTCGAAACCAGCGGTAAAAAATATCGCGGCTTGGGCTACCAAATCGTCGCCATCGAATTCTGTAAATATGATAGACAGTAGATATAACAGTTCATCGGAGATCTAAATTCAATTTGTTTCTCTTGCATTTTAATCTTATCATGCTTCCTTTCAGCTGGTTTTTCTTAAGATCAAGCAGAAGTGACGCAGCTAAATTATTACTGGTTCATGCCTCATATTGTTGATTGATCGAATGCAATTGCCGAGATTATTGGTTTATTTACAAAATAGAGTGTGGTATAAGATAAGATACTTACTGAAGCCCTCGATATCCTGTTCACTGTTCTTCAACTCTACCAGAAGGTCTATTAAGTCGTTTCGTTTGCCTCCTGACTTGATGCGCTCGTTTATGGTGCCCCAAAAAGTGGATCTGAGGAACTTCGAAGAGTCTTTTTCGAAAAATGACAGCCCAAGCGGCGCGGCCAGCTTGGGGGCGAAAAAGAGCAACGTCATTTCCAATCCCCGTTTAAAACTGTAGTTGAAGACCTGCTTTCCCCATTTCCGAAATTCCGCCTCGGGATTGTTCAGGGAGTTCACTCTGAGACCGAACGCAGTTGTGCCGATCAGATCCGTAGCGAACTTCGCGCAGATTTCCTTGACTTCCAAGACTTGTCCTGTGCCTGGAAAAATCATGAATTTAGTCTCTGCATCGTGTGCATAATATGTAAGTATGCGGAGTGTTTGTACCTTGGAGATAAATAAAAATAAAAGGGAGAGGGAACGTTTGGTCGGCGAAATAAATGACGTTCAAGTGACAGTGCAACATATCTCCGAAATGGATGCAGCGATTCGTTTCAAATTCTACCCCGTAAGTATGGAGGCTCTAAGGTAGGTCCTGAAACTCACGAAATCTCACTTTTTATTAGAATCGAAAATGAAAGTATAGAAAATACTTTCGCGAATGATTGTGAGAAAATTGTGGGGAACGCTTCATTTCGCATAATTCATACCGCAACGTGTGACAGACTTCAACATAAATATTAATGTCTGTAATGTGGTGCCCCAGATTACGTTATCACTTAAGTATCCAAAACGGCGTTACCATCAAACGTAGATAAATATAGAATGAAACGTAGATGAATTTTATTTTATCGAAGTGGATTAAACTTCTGAGCGCCCCTTCCATATCACCGCTATCTAAATGTTTCGTTTTATTTTCAACCCTCATATATGCCAGGTAATTAGCTAGGCATTAGAGATGAAACTGTGCACTTTGATCTAAGTGCGCCTACCTTCTAAATTGCAAGACTCGAGATATATTTGGAGGTCCTTGCTGATGTCGGTCATCAATTCGAACATCTTCTTCAGCTTCCCGGAGGTGAAGATAGGAGACAACTTGGACCTGACAGTCTTCCAGGCGGGATTTTTCAGGAGGATCAGATTGGCAGCACCGAGTCTGTCTCCTTCCCTGGTAGATATGTGTCTGTCTGCGAAATAGTTGAAGTCCTTAACAAGGATGTGCTTGATGAGGCCAGGATCCCTGACCAGCAGGAAGGGCTTGTGAAAAATATAAATCCCAATAAAATCGGTCCCTTCCCCTTTGTTGTACAGGTCCTTCAGGAACTCCCCTGGGCATTTCTTCATCAATAGACAGTCGGAAAAATTCCCGACAAATGGGGAAGGTGGGATTTCCAAAACGCCGCGTTTCTTCCAGTAATTCAACTTCCTCGTCATGTACAAGTATGCCGCAGCAATGGCGGCCAGGAACAGGATTATCCCGTCTAGGCCCCAGTAACTCGAAATCACCGCCATCTTGGCAACCTCTTCCACGAGACAGACCTCAAAGTCGAAGGCACCAGATCTTTTGGATGAAAATTTGAGCCCCGGGAAACGTGTGTGATACCGCCGAACACGCGAACAAGGATCGCGGAAAATGCACGGTCGACAGCAGCCGCGTACTTGGAGAATGGCTCGGTTGGCCTACTTTTATGAAGCACTTGGGGTTCTACATAATTTCCCCCACTTTCAGCGTGTGTTGTTAATACGAATGCTGCAAGTCATGGCCGATAAATTATCGTTACACTGTAATCCCTATCTTGTGACTTACACGTGCTTATCGGAGTAAAAGTAACATTTAAACCGTACGAGTTGGCCCCCGAGTCGAAATGTTCGCCTCGTATGGTATTCATGAACACACATGAGAATGTGTACAATACGAGAATTGAAGATAAGGAGATGATTCAAATTTAATTTTAATCGTTTAATTTTTGTCCGTTTGTGTAGGGTTCAAATGTGCGGTAGATCGAAACTCGATTGAACCTTCGTTAGTAACGAGGTGTAATTAATAATAGATTAAGTTGTGAGAAATATGAACGTTAAGGTTATTGGTGGACTAAATGAAATTGATATCTCAATCGACAAAATAAATGGTTAAGAGAATACAGGATTGTGAGGTTTAAATGACGTCGATTACTTTGACATCATTATGTGCGATGCGATGCCAAATTTCATGAACATCGGTGCAATTTATATGTACATGATTTTCGTGTGTACGGAAGAACTGAGCTAAATTAAACGTCAATAACGATATAGGAGTATTAAATAAAAACATGTACACGTGTAAGATTTAATTCCTGGCATGCTATAATTTGACATAAATGGCAATCCTTGAATACAATAACTTGAATACAAACAATTCGGCGTGAGTATCTGATCAACTATCTCATGCATCAACCATTTCAAAACTATATTACTGCCAGCTGATTTATTCACATCAGAAATAACTTATCACTAAATTAAGCGAATCCGAGTTTTTTGGTTTTTGCAACCAAAGTCACGGAAGAGTCACAATCTAGACACCTCCCATGGACCAGTTTGAAAGAATGATATCTGAAATATTTATTAAAAGTAAGGAAAAGCATGTTTCATTGACGAAAAAAACATATCACGCCAGTAACTCGCACCAACTAAGGTGTTATACCGATCCACTATAAAAGTCATAAATTTTAAGTGAGCTTATAGAATACTCTACGATTAAAAAGTCATTACAACAGACCATCTAGTTTCTTTAATATACAAGAATATCAATCAATAAAGTAAGTTATGCAGCTCGCTGAACATCAGACGCATCCTGGCATTCCCCATCTTAGTTTTCGTATGGAATGATCATCTTAAGAAATGAATTCCTATTTACATTCCGTTGAGTTAATAACATAGTTACATATAAATTGCGCATCGAGCAGATGTAAAAATCATATCAGATCACCCGGTTTAAAGGCACTTCTATTGGATGATTATTTAGGATAGGATGGCACTAGATGTTAAGCGGGTATTTTCCGCACATTTACATATAATCCATCTAATGTCGAAGTGATTAATCCCTTAGGATTCAATACGAGAGGAATTGGTGTTTTGTCGCAGACCGAGACTTCATATTGGGATAATATCTTGACCAACCCCAGTTTGCTTTGTAAAAGGCCCAGCCGCAGACCTGTAATTAAATATGAAACCCGAGATAAACTTATCAATATCGAAGAAGCAAGAACCATATTAAAAAATGAGAAAATTATTACCAATGCAGTTTCGGGGTCCGTCTCCGAAAGGCATGTAGGTGAAAGGCTTCCTCGCTTTCTTATTCTCTTCGGAAAACCTTTCAGGATCGAATTGCTCGGGATTTGGAAAATTATCGGGATCCCAGTGAAGTCCCAGCAAAGGGATGAAAATCGGTGTACCTTTCTCGATTACCACATTACTGTCCGGGACTTTATAATCTGCAGCCGTTACTCTGTCCAAAAGTGGTAACGGTGGGAACTTCCTCAGAGTTTCCGAAACCACCATGTCCAGATAAGGAAGATTGACCACCTGGAAATATCATTGTCTTTCGGAGATATACAGGCATATGAGGTCATAAACTCGCATCACTAATTTTCTTTAATTAAGTACTGTTTGGTAAAAGCTAGCGCTCCTTGCCGATTTTCCTGTATTCACTGAATTTATGAAATCCCACCATTTCGTAGGTTATTTCTCCATTATTCTCTTCTAGAGCCTCGTGGATTTCTTTTCTGAGCCGGTTTTGGATCTCTGGTTGCAAGGCCAGTTCGTAGAGAGTAAAGGAAATTGCCGTTGATGACGTTTCGAAACCAGCTGTAAAGAATACTGCAGCTTGGGCTACCAAATCATCCCCATCGAATTCTGGAAATATTGCACAGAGCAGATGTAAACATCTCATTGGGAAACATAATCGGAGACTTTTGATAATCTCAATTGATCTCATCTTTGGTTTTTGTGTAGTGCGTGGTTGATAAGATAAGGAGGAATTGACGCAGTTGAATCATTATTAAAATTCACGGACCCATGGCTATGCGTTATAATGGAATACAGCTCTATGAATTATTACTGCCCTACAAAAGAATACATCTGCACTTTTAGCAAAGGACAGAGACGCCGATAAAGTTTTGCACTTACTGCAGGAATAATCACATCAACAGCAAAAATATTTCCAATTATATCGAATGCAGATGTAACCATTGGAGAGTTTTTTTTCCTTTTTTTTTTAAGGGCTTACTAAATGAGCAAATGAATTTTGAGCAACGTGTAAAAAATTATCGTTCTCACTACTCGAAAAATGAGTGATATACAATTTGTTGCCGGTGGAAAAGAATATCGCAACCGTGAGAAGAACTTCTGTTACTCCAGTGAAGTAATTGGTTTTTTATTCCAATACAACAATACTGTTTCTGGACAAATGCTTTGCTGGCCCATTTTTAACTATTCACGTTTATTGAAGCAAGTCAACTATTTCTTCTTACCGTCAATTCTTTCTCGGAATTAATATGGAATTTGTGTTTAATATTATTCACGAGATAGATTATGTTATAGGAGAAAATACTCACGGAAACCTTCGATTTCCTGTTTGCTATTTTTCAGCTCTATCAGTAGATCGATTAAGTCGTTTCTCTTATTTCCAGATTTGATTCGCTCGTTTATGGTTCCCCAGAGACTGGATCTAAGGAACTTCTCGGTCTTTTTTGGAAAAAACGACAGACGAAGCGGTCCGGCCAATTTGGGGGCGAAAAAGAGCGTCGTCAACTCCAATCCCCGTAAAATAGTGAAATGAAACATCTGTCTCCCCCATTTTCGAAATTCGGCCTCAGGATTGTTCAAAGAATTTACTCTTAGACCGAACGCAGTAGTGGCAATCATATCGGTGGTGAACTTCGCGCAGACCTCCTTCATTTCCAAAACTTGTCCATTCCCTGGAAAAATTGTGCTTCTAGTACCTCTTTCAAATTTCGTTTCTCTCAAAAATGAATAATGATACGACGTGATATGTGAGTAAATTATAAACCTTTTAAAAATCCGAAAAAAGAAAAATAGTTTAAGATATATGATTTCCCTATCATCGGAAAGTCCATCGTGTTATCGTCCGCATTTGCATAACACGGTACGAACGTATTTCAAATTTTCCGCAATTAATCTATGTGTGACTGCAGCTGTTTTCTAAACACATTATGTAGATAACAGGGAATTAAAGTGTATATCAACATGCTGCCGAAATTCAGTAACCACTGGTATATAATAACGCGTTTCTTCGCAGATTCTTGTTTTTCCATCGTTTCAATCGAACCAGCAATTAGAAAATTTCAATTCATTGCTTTTTTTCTCTATATCGTATATTTATGATAATGTACCTGTCACGTACAACTCGAAAAACTCGACTCGCCTGATTCAACGTAAAAGGTGTGTTTAATGATGATGATATGTCGTGTCACTCTATATTTTAGCTTGGCTGCCACCATGTATTTCCGTGATTGAAAAGAGAACATGTTTGCGGCGATCAATTTTCTACCAGATCATTAAAATCTCTTTTAAAAACATAAAACTCTACTAGTAACTATCGATGTTCAGTCTACAACAGATGCTGCCGTATTTTCAATGATTAAATTTCATTTTTTATTGAGATATATCATGTTCTATCTAATCAGTCCATATAATGAACTATAATATCGATGAAATCTGCGATGTTTCATAACAAGTTGAACATGTTGCAATCACCAGCTCTCTCTCCAAGCACATTATTCATAAATAATGCATAATTTGAATAAGTTTCCAGTTACTAATAATAAGCATCAATGAAAACAAGCTACTCGCATAATTAATATACATTGATCCGAAAAGCTCAGCAACTCGCCTCAAAATAGATCTTGAAAATATTAAATTTAATTAATCCAGCGCGTACTATTTACGATCTTAGATTCATTTCCAGTCCACCAAAAATTCCAAAACGTCCCATTAAGCAGGAAATTCGAGAAAGTTTAAAGTACCTTCCAAATTGCAAGACTCGAGATAGGTTTGGAGGTCCTCGCTGATGTCAGTCATCAAATCGAACATCTTCTTCAGCTTCCCGGAAGTGAAGATGGGAGACAACTTAGACCTGACGGTTTTCCAGGCGGGGCTCTTAAGGATGAAGAGGTTGGCAGCTCCAAGTCTGTCGTCTTCCCTGGCGGCGGCATATCTGTCTATGAAGTAGTTGAAGTCCTTAACAAGGATGTTCTTGATGAGTCCAGGGTCCCTGATCAGCAGGAAGGGCTTGTCAAAGATGTAGAACCCGACACAATCGGCCCCCTCTCCTCTGTCGTAGAGATCTTTGAGGAACTCCCCTGGGGATTTCTTCATGAAGATACAATCGGAATAATTCCCGAGGAACGGGGAAGGTGGGACCTCCAGAACGCCGCGTTTCCTCCAGTAGTTGAACTTCCTCGTCATGTACAAGTACGCCGCGGCAATGGCGGCCAAGAGAAGAATGATCCCATCAAGGCCCCAATAACTTGAGATCACCGCCATTCTGGCAGCCTCTTCTACGGGCCAAACTTCAAAACCGAAGTCACCAGATATATTTGATTAAACTTTGAGTCCTAGGTACGTCTTCGGAACTACCGAACACTCGAACAGTATTAGGGAAAATGTACGTTCGACATCGCTCGCGGACTCCTAGATGTGCTAGATTTATTCCCATTTATCAGGCGCCGTTACTTGCGATTCTACGCGATTTCTCCCCACTTCTAGCGTGGATATATACTACGATGTTGTTAACAGGAATACGCCTAATTATAGCTAACACTCTATTGTCGCGATGTAACAAGCATCTTGTCATCTAAACGGCCTTGTCGGAAGGAATCCATTATGCCGTTCGGGCGTAATGTTAAGCCTGTCCTCCGACAATAAGACCAAAAATATGAAAGGATACCCGAATTCGATATCCGAGATAATGTTCAATGAATGTCCGCGCAATTTGTCCGTGTACATCATTTTCATTTTTGTAGAGGTACATTGTTTCTGGTGACATTCTATACACACTGAAGAGGCTTCGCCACCTTAGAGGAAATTTAGACTGTCGATTGTGCGCGACGAAGTATTAATATTTATTATATACAGCTCAACTTCGACAAATATTGTTAATGATGCATTCTTTTAATCAATGCATTACTGAATTCATAGGAAATAAAAATGAATTACATATAGTGTCTTTATCACATTAAATGACTACTGGGTGTTACACTCGGAGTAATGCCTGCTTTAAGAATAAATCACAGCTCAATGATTACGATACTGTATAACTGATAATTGGATAATTATGTATTCACACGAGAGACAGTTGAAAGTTCACCCTGAGAAATTACATTTCTCTTTGTGTTCAATCAATAGCATCGTTACATATATAACGAATGTTGAACAGTTCGATGAAATGTAAAAATTTTGTCAGATCACCGGTTCGAAGGGTCTCTCAGTCGATGATTATTTGCATCCTTTTTGCATTCGATGTTATCAGCTAGCCTCGGTTGTCAGTTTCCGCATATTTAGAAATATTCCATCTAATGATGTGGTTATTAATCCCTTAGGATTCAATTTGAGGGGGACTGGCATTTTTTCACAGACGGACACTGCGTATTTGGATAATATATTGATCAGGCCCAGTTTACTTTGTATAAGTCCCAGCCGAAGACCTGTGATAAAATAAAACACTGATAATAAGATTCACTACCGAAGAAACGAAAATTATTGTTTAAAAAAAAGGAGAGGAAATTTACCGATGCAGTTGTGGGGTCCGTCGCCGAAGGGCATATAGATGCAAGGTTTTCTAGCTCTTTTATTTACATCGGAAAATCTCTCAGGGTCGTATAGCTCGGGATTTGGAAAATACTCGGGATCCGCGTGAAGTCCCAGCAATGGGATGAAAATCGGTGTACCTCTCTCGATTATCAAATTACTGTCCGGGACTTTATAATCTGCAGCCGTTACTCTGTCCAAAAGTGGTAACGGTGGGAACTTCCTCAGAGTTTCCGAAACCACCATGTCCAGATAAGGAAGATTGACCACCTGGAAATATCATTGTCTTTCGGAGATATACAGGCATATGAGGTCATAAACTCGCATCACTAATTTTCTTTAATTAAGTACTGTTTGGTAAAAGCTAGCGCTCCTTGCCGATTTTCCTGTATTCACTGAATTTATGAAATCCCACCATTTCGTAGGTTATTTCTCCATTATTCTCTTCTAGAGCCTCGTGGATTTCTTTTCTGAGCCGGTTTTGGATCTCTGGTTGCAAGGCCAGTTCGTAGAGAGTAAAGGAAATTGCCGTTGATGACGTTTCGAAACCAGCTGTAAAGAATACTGCAGCTTGGGCTACCAAATCATCCCCATCNCCATTGTTGTTGATTAGGAATATGCGGTTCTACCGATTGATCCTGGGTTTTGTGTTTAATTTTATATATTGTATGATATAAGAAAAAATACTCACTGAAACCGTCGACTTCTTGTCCGCTGTTCTTCAGCTGTATCAGAAGGTCGATTAAGTCGTTTCTTTTAGCACCTGACTTGATGCGCTCGTTTATGGTGCTCCAAAAAGTGGACGTGAGGAATCTCGTGTTGCCTTCCTCGAAAAATGAGAAATTAAGCGACTTTGCCAGCTTGGGGATGAAGAAAAGCGACGTCAACTCAAACCCCCGTAAAACGGTGAAAGAGTACATCCGTTTTCCCCATTTGCGAAATTCGGCATCAGGATTGTTCAAGGAGTTCTCTCTAACACCAAACGCAATCGTGGTGATCAGGTCTGTGGTAAACTTTGCGCAGACGTCTTTTAGTTCCATAACTCGTCCTTCACCTAGAAAAATCGTGTATATTGTACATATTAGAAATGAATATCAGTACAGCATAATATTGCACCTCCTTTTTCAGATTTTCTGTTTTCCCTCTCTTCGGAAACTCGTTCATTGCCTATTAAAATCGTGAACTTGGTATCTCAAGGGGTAAATATAGACATGACATAGATTCGTGGGTAAATAAATTATAAACATCTTTTCAAGTGACGTGGAAATCAAAATTAATGAATTCGGATTTCTCGGTAATTGGGAAGGAAGCATTGCATTATCGTCCGTATTTGCATGGCACGATACAAACGTTTTGTAAATATTCCACGATTAATCGACTGCGTGTCTGCAGGTGATATTGAAGACATTTCATGAGAAATAGACTGAGGTCCAATTTGCACATCGATATTTGCGCAAATCGAGTAACCACTGGTTCATAATGGCGTGTCTTTCTCGCCGATTCGTATTTTCACTTGAACATTAAAATCGCGATGAAAGTACAAAATCAGCGGTAGTAACTGTCCCTATTCAGACTATGTCAAATACTGCCGCATTTTTACTGATGACATTTAATTTCGAATCGATGTTTATTATGCCTTATTACGGGCAAATTTCTCCATCTGCTTTGCACGTACGTTTAATCCAGAAACTGAATTAAAAATTTCAGGCAATCTGTGAGTATCTTTATCAAATTGCACACGACGTATTTGTTGGTTTCCTCTAGGGGTATTATTTGCAAATGCATAGCTTCAATCAACGTTCATAAAAAAAATGTCAAAGAGAACAAGCTACTTGCTTAGATTAGATCATAGACATCTATTAGGAAACGTAGCAGTTTGCGGGAATGTTTGACATCATACTATTGACTGTAATAAATTCAATGAACTATTTATAATATTATACTCATTTTCAATCAAACGACAATCCAGTCAAGATATAATTCAACAAGTAATTGAAGTTTAATCTACCTTCTAAATTGCAAGACTCGAGGTACGTATGAAGGTCTTCGCTGATATCAGTCATCAGCTCGAACATCTTCTTCAGCTTCCCGGAGGTGAAAATGGGTGACAACTTGGTCCTGACGGTTTTCCAGGCAGGACTCTTAAGGAGGAAGACGTTGGCAGCACCAAGTCTGTCATCTTCCCCGGAGGTGACAAATCTGTCCATGAAGTAGTTGAAGTCTTTGATAAGGATGTGCTTGATCAACCCAGGGTCCCTGACAAGCAAGGCGGGCTTGTCAAAAATATAAAACCCAACACAATCGGCCCCCTCTCCTCTGTCATAAAGATCCTTGAGGAACTCCCCCGGGGATTTCTTCATAAACAAACAATCGGAATAATTCCCGAGAAAGGGGGAAGGTGGGACCTCCAAAACGCCGCGTTTCCTCCAATAATTGAACTTCCTCGTCATGTAGAAGTACGCCGCAACAATGGCGGCGAAGAGAAGGATAATCCCATCGAGACCCCAATAATTAGAGATCACCGCCATCTTGGCAGCCTCTTCCACGGATCGGAGCCTAAAATCGAGGAAATTATCTCCTCGACAAATATTACAGTACCCGAATTATTTTCGGATTTATCCAGCACTCGAAGAAGTGCCTTGAGAAATACACGTTCGATATCGGTCGCGGACTCGAATAAATTTCTGGAATTGTTCGCATTTATCGAGCTCCGTCCCTCGGGAATTGTGCAATTTCCCCCACTTTCGGTCTACCATACTTGATATTGTTAACGCGAATACAGTTAATTATCGTTAATATGTTACCGTCCCGATTGGGAAGTGTCCTATGACCTGAGCGGTCTCCATGCAAATAAACCAGCACGGAGATCAGTCGTAATGTAAATTTTGAGGTGCGATAAGATATCGGATCCGCGACGTGAAGAAATTCCCAGATTCGAAATCCGCGTTGGAATTCCACGATTTTAGCGTAATTTGTATGTGCACGATGTTCGCATCTGTGGAGGTGCTTTGTTGTTCTCAATGGCCCAATGCACCCTGAATGGGTTTCGCCAACTATGAGGAAACTCGGATCGCGGATTAAGCATAACGAGTGTCAATTTTTTTTTTCTTATTTCCTCTTCATCATCGTGACTCCCCGTGGTGGGATGGCGAATTATCAGGGTTTATCGATAGAAGTTGACAGAGCAACGACTGCCCTGACTGATCCCTAGTAGCGCAAAATATTTGACCTATATTTTCTATATATTTAACGAATATCGTACATTTTGTAAATATTTAGCAGACATTTTAAATATTCGCAAAACGTTAACTGTAGAATATTATCTCTATAATATTTATATAATATTACCTCCATGTGTTTTCATAATATTTTTCTACCAGATGATTTCTCCAGTAATGAAATAGCGGAACGAAAATATTAGAAAAATTTCTCGTGTTTTTTGACACCAAATGAAGTGTCCGATAATAGTCGTTAAGTAAAAGATGTATTTTTCTTATGTTAATAAGTTAAAAATATATTTCTCTATATGTTTGTAAATTATAGAAACTAAATATGTCATTGAGATTTTCAAGAAATATTTCAAATATCTTCGAATGAAATCTACAAGAAATCTTAGAAAATCTGTCGCTTGAGATATTTAGCAAAGATTGCAAAGAAATATTTAGAAATTATTCTATTCTACTAGGGATACGACGAACCTCGCGATTATGTAGTCAGTGTTGCTGGCATTAGTTGAGAGAAGCGATTAATGTTGCCGACAGCGTTGCTAGTTTATGACACGGGTTCGAAGATATGAGAAAAAAATACGATTCAAGATTGTCGGGGAATTAAATAAAGACAACAAAGTCCGATGTGCGCAGTTGCCCAAGCTGGATGAATCTGCATGAGTAAGTATGTTAACGATAACAAAATAACTATTTCCTTCATATGCTTACGGAGCGTCTCCGCGAACATTTATATCTCTAGAGATTTAATTTAATTAATCAACACTTTAAAGGAAACACTGCAATTAATTCATGGAACTGGAAGTTTTATTTAAACTCCGTATACTAAATTTATAATACACTTGTAGATGCTTCCGAGTCATTCATTGTTACGAAATACAGATTTTATGATTTTGCAAGTAGACTCCAACATTCGCGATAAAGCGTCAAAAATTCGAGGCTTGTTCGTAAATGTATAAATGTTGCGCATTAATTTGCAATCGTCATATCAAATTTGTAATTTCGGCGTAACTTTGTATACTACAGATGGGTGAAATTTGGAGACATTTTAAACAATATACGATAACCACAGATGTGGGTAAAAATACGAATAAGGAAAATTAATCGTCATACAAGGGGAAGACGTAAACCAGGAATGGAACTAAAAATAGTTACACTGGAATATTCCTGTTGGTGCAACAATAAATAAATGCCGTTCCTTGAAAAAGGCCAACCCGATTTATATAATGGAACGGTAATTATCGCGAGAATATAGACGTGCTAGAGTAATAATCAGGCCGGGGAAACCTGTTATCGTTGAAAAATAACTCGTTAAATTTGACAAGTTACAGCCGGGACTTTCACGTCTTCGTAATTGTCTGGAAAACGTGATACCAGAGATGCAAAAGGAAATACAGGTCGGCCTTATAAAAACTGCGAAGGCATACCGGGGAAGGCATGCTTTTTCTGCGAATTACCCGACTTAATACGCAAAATACTCAAAATGTATCCGGCCATTGACCAGCGGAAATGTCGGTGCCCGTTTCATCTCTGACTAATTGGTTACATAGAAATATACAGTCCAACCTCCTAAGACTCGACCGTAATTTCAAGTTAAGTGGTTCGAAAGAGGTGCAATTTTCGCAAGTTCCCTTTTTTCGACACACGGTAAGCCTCCTATTAAAATATTCATTATACGTGTATAATTATTCGCCGATTGAATATTTTTCTCGGCACCGATGTTACCTGTCTCTACACAAGATTACAGGTCACAGGTACATCTGCACCATAAAAAGATAATGACGAACAAGATTCCCAACATTTCGGTAATAATAATAATTTAAATTAATTTATTCTTATAATTAAATTTATAATTAATTACTACGAAAGTTCAATTTTCTGTCTCAATATGCGTAAAATGTTCCGCTATCGTTAGTAGATTATTCTCGGGATTAATTATTCCAAGTGAAATAGAAATAGTACAAACAAAAGTCATACGTCAATATGTCCAAAACAACTGTAAGGGTGTGTAAAGAAATCATCCTTTTTCCCCGTTAAAAATTTATATTTATTAACATAAAGTACATTTGGTATTCAATTTGGTGCCTTATTTCAGAAAGGGATACTTCGGTGGACAATTGAGAAAGCAGGTGTACACGTATGCCACGTAGGTGCGCAGGTGTGGGGATGCAAAAAGGCGTGCAAAAGCGGGACAGCGGAGTGGCGCAAATCGGCACGCTTATTCGGCGAATCGCACGGCTTAATACCTGAAATGCTTCTAAAATGTATCCGGCGACCGTTCAGCGGAAAGATCGGTATCCGTTTCATCTTTCCCTAATCGGTTACATAGAAATACAATCGGCCCTCGCGAGGATTCGACTGTAATTGCGAGCTAAGTGCCCCTCGAGTGGCGTGCGATTTTCGCGATTCCCCCACTTTTTCTCCCCCGTACCGTTTTTGCCTCTTAATATTCTTTTTCGCCGGAGCTGCGCCCCTTCCCGGACGCGGTGCACGGGAATTCGCGTGACTCGGAATTATTATTCGTGTCATTTACTGACGCACGGTATACTACTGGCTTACTATTACTTGTTGCAATTCTGCCCGACAAGCCGCTCATTATTCGGCACGAATGTTATTGGAAAATCCAGGCACGCACGTTCCCCCAGATCGTCGCGGCCGCAATTAATGACTTCGGAAATGACCGCCTTTGCCAGATATCTTGGCTTCTCGGTAACGGTGTAACTCGGCCGAGATGGAACGAGCCATTATCGAGGTAAAGAAGACCTAAAGGGTTGAGAAAAGAAACAGCGCAAGATGGCGCTCGAGACGAATTTTATATCCTTTTGGGATCACCCGAACGTCGACCGCAAGATTTGCAAGTCGGTTAGGACTTCCTCGTATTTCTCACATATACTGAGGAATATTAAACTGATTAAGGTTATATGAAAGGGTCATCCTGTACATATAAAATGTGAAAATATGTATTAAACTTTTCTACAAACTGGGTGCACCGAATGTTCTGAAACTTTAACACGTGGTTACGGAGCACCTAATCGAAGAAAAAAAACATTCCCTTTTCGGTTCTTTTCCGGGGTAAATACCAAATGTTTTCCGAAAAAAATGAAATTTTACGAGTGTCAAGACCTTCGTCAGGACCTCCGTAATCATGTGTTAAAGTTTCAAATTATTCGGTGTACCCAGTTTACAGAAAAGTTGTATACATATGTTGACGTTTTGGTACATATATGTGAAATTTTTATAACAGCTTAAGTCCATACGATAATTTTCCCAAGAGCTTCAAGCGCCGGCCATGCTGATATATTACCCTTCTTGTATTCTATATTCCGAACAAGTCATGAATTTGATTAGTCATGTCTTAGTTTTTAACTCGATTATGTACAAGTGTCTCCATGAGTGGCTCGTTGACATGTGTTAATTGTCCATCTGCATGTCAAGATATATTTCTTTCGCGTGCTTATCTATTTCCCCGTTGAGATATTGTGTAAGACGTTGCGTCAGTTTTTCGATTATTGAGGCGCACTGCAATTACAATATTACCAGTGTTATTACAGTGCACCACATACAATTTGCATTTCCAAGTGCTGCACTCGAACAAAATCAGTTACCTGCAAACTAAAGTCCTATTTTCAATGCCGATTAGAATTAGTCAAAAGTGTATAGGTTGTTAATGAATGCGCAGGGAAACGAATTGATATTATTAACGATATCCTGTGAATGATGAAATTGACCGTATCCACCTGAGATTTCTGATAAAAAGTGGACAAAACCGTATTTAATACCCTTTACCTAAAATTAAGCTTACGGAAACAACAATTATTTATATTACCGAAAGAGATATTTAAACAACAATTCTAAGAGCGACCTCAAACGATATTAGGATGTACACCATAAAGTAAACTATTTATCATTGATAACGACGGTAAGGAAGAGATCATTACGTAGGTAAAACAGGCTCTCGCTAGTAAGTTATCGACCAAATTCACCACGAACTTCTTTGTATTGACGCCCTTCCCCGTCAGATGCCTCTGCAATGAAATCACCTGACATATTACAAAACACTCATGCATTTTAAAATTTATATAAAAAAGAAAATATGTAAAACTGTAAAAAGCCACACTTCGGTTACCCAAACTCATCTTCCAAACGTGATGTACAAAATTTCCGAGAGCACCTAGTGATTGGATGAAGCTTGCTCCGCCGATTGCCTGGCTCCAGTTACCTGTAACTCGATAATAAAGGTAATAGCAAAGCAATGCTAATATTAACCGTTAAAATTCGATAATGGTGTAATAAGTACTCGATGACTTCCACCGCCTCATGAGTTACGCATGAGATGGTTAATCAAACCTTTCCTAGGCCATTACGTTTAATGATACCCGATAGCCGTGCTTTGATACCGCACCGCGCATTATGTTACATATTATGTACATACCGTGA